TGACCAACTGCTAGGATAAAATATCTGTAAATGTAAGTTGAAAAAAAATGTCTTTTTAAAAAAAGTTCCTCTATCCCCCAAGTAGTATCCTCAACGCAGAAGTTTGATTACTGCCTGCAGGATTCTAACAGATTAAACTTTGAAGCTGTAATTCATGAAGAAGGATGGTGAAAACAAATTTCTTTTGAAATATAGTTCAAGAGAAGTGTGAAAGTTCGGCCTTTATAGGTAGGCATCATGGAGCTACTATCATGTTCATTATTGTTCTTAAAAGAAGAAGTGAAACTTGGAATATATTAACACTCATTTGTCAATTAATTAGAAGATTTTTAATTATGGTATTTCCTGTGAATTATTATTATTTTAAAACTAATAATGTTTCTATTATACAACAGCACCTTAACAAAAGCAAACAAAACTTGGCAACTATGTTAAAAAGCCTCTCACTACACACTTAAAATCTTTTTTTCTTTATTTTCTATCATCCTGTGATAAAAATCTGCTTCTACAGAATTAAAAAGACATTTTATAAAAGGGACTACAATATAAATATATTGTTTTCAATGGATTTTATTGAAAATAAGTATGTGAAAGAAGATTCAATTTTCTTCAGCATAATATGGTTTCTCTGAATTTTGCAGGACTTAAGCCTGTGATCAAATATCAACTTTTAAAAAGTAGCCTCCAGACTTCTGCCAAGATAGAGGCGTAGGTGGAAACACTTTGCCTTCTCACACAACCAAATCTAAAAATAATAAAGTTTTAGCAACAATAAACACAGCCAAACTACAGAAAATTGAACAATATGGAGTCCGACAACAACGAACCACTCAGCTAGACCAGTAAGAGGGGCAGAGCCAGCAGTGGAGCAGGTGGGGCAAAAAAGATCCCCCAACCCAGGCAGCCAGGGGCGAATCCCAGGTGTGGGGTAGCAATGGCAGTGAAGACACAGGGCGGCTGGCTGACCATGGTCAAACATTTGTGCGCAGATAAACCAGCAAAGGAGCAAGCAGTGAGATGGACTGCGCAGGCCCCAGTGGCAGAAAGCAGCAGAGGGGACCACTGTTGCTCCCTCTCTGACCCTGCCCCCACATACAGCATCACAAACCAGCGACTTGGTTGGCCCCACCCTGTTGAACATCAAAGGCTCTGCTCCTCATACATAATTGGCACAAACAGGCCAAAACATGGCTCAGAAGGAACTCAGAGCCCCAGAGCCCATAAATCTAAGTGAACAAGAAATTGCCAAACTATCACAGGCACAGTTCAAAACTCTGGTGATCAGGATGCTCACAGAACTGGTTGATTTTCGCCACAAATTAGAGGAACATATGAAGGCTAAACTAATTGAAATGAAGGCAATTGCATAGGAAACCAATAGTGATGAAAAGGAAACTGGGACTCAAATCAAGGGAGTGGACCAGAAGGAAGAAAAAAATAACCAAATAAGAAAATATGAAGAAACAAGAATTCAAAAAAAATGAGAAGAGGCTAAGGAACCTCCAGGACATCTTTAAACACTCCAACATCTGAATTATAGGGGTACCAGAAGGGGAAGAGGAACAGTCACGAGTGGAAAACTTATTTGAACAAATAATAAAGGAGAATTTCCCCATTCTGGCAAAGGAAATAGACTACCAGGAAATCCAGGAAGCTCAGAGAGTCCCAAAGAAGGTGGACCCAAGAAGGAACACACCAAGGCACATCATCATTACATTAGCCAAGATTAAAATGAAGGAGAGAATCCTAGAAGCAGCAAGAGATAAGGGGACAGTTACCTATAAAGGAGTTCCCATCAGACTTTCAGCTGATTTCTCAAAAGAGACCTTACAGGCAAGAAGGGGCTGGAAAGAAGTATTTCAAGTCATGAAAACCAAAGACCTACAACCAAGATTGCTCTATCCAGCAAAATTTTCATTTAGAATGAAAGGGCAGATAAAGTACTTCTCAGATAAGGTCAAATTCAAGGAATTCATCATCACCAAGCCCTTATTATATGAAATGTGAAAGGGATTTATCTAAGAAAAAGAAGATAAAAAAGATGAACAGTGAAAGGACAGCAAACTCAGTTATTAACAACCACACCTAAAACAAAAGCAAACTAAAAGGACAGCTAGATCAGGAGCTAACCATAAAAATGAAGATCACATGAATGGTTAGCAACAGGGGAGTGGGAGAAGGAGAAGGAGAAGGGGGGAGAAGGTACAGAAAATAAGTAGCATAGATGGTAGGTAGAAAATAGATAGGGGGAGGGCAAGAATAGTATGGGAAATATAGAATCTAAAGAACTTGAGACACGTGGTCATAAACTAAAGGGGGGAATGGTGGGGGAGGGGTGTGCAGGGTGGAGGGGAATGAAGGGGGGAATAGAACAATTGTAATGCCATAATCAATAAAAAAAAGTGATTGCCTAGAAAAGGGTAGTGGGACTGGGGAGGGGAAGGGTGGGACAGGCACATGGCCTCCCATTGTACACCCTTTTGTACTGTGGTCCGTTTTCCCTGTGTGTTACATTAATTAAATATATAAAGCAAGAAAATAAAATATACATATTTCATTGGTTAAAAAAAGTAGCCTCCAATTTTATGTTTGTGAAGGTTCTTTCTTTTTAAAAAGTTTGCATATAAAATAGACAAATAAATAATAAACCAAAATCTAGTTATATTGCTTTAATACACTGATAATATTTTGATTAGTTAAGAAGACAATTATCCTTCCCTTTTCATCGTCATCAGCACCAATAAGCAAATTCCGATCATGAACTGCATTCTCACACTGAGAGTCCCATTCAACCGAAACATAGCTGGTTCAGTCTGACTTAGTTGTCATTAAGAAAACTACATGAATGTTCCTTTGCAGAGCCCTAAACATGCCTCTATTGAGAGTATCACAGCATCATTTCTCAGTTTTGTGTGGAGTCACATATACTTAGCCAGCCAATTTCAAATCATAGGAAACTTCTTCCATCTTTTAAATAATGTTTGTTTGTTTTTTCCTCAAAGACAACTCTGAATCTTGGTTTACACACTGATCATATATTCAAACAACAGGCCTATGATTTACTAGGATAGGCTGAGGCTAGGAATTACACAAATATTTAGCCATAGAAATATAGAAAGCTTAACACAAATGTATCACTTTTTATTTTCCTTTCCTACAAAGTTTATGTTATAAGGTTTCTTCATTATTTTAGAAGTTTCCAACACTGGAAACCAATCAAACAAAATGCACAGAATCCCATTTCTTCTGCTTTCACTTCTCTCACCCCCACATGCAGCTGTTGCTATCATATGAGTACTGCAAGGCCCAGTTCAAACCTATCAGCTCTAACACTTTCTGTGATTCCCCCGCTGCTTTTCTTCTCCAAGCTCCATGCCTGGTTACTCTCTCTGCTGTCCGTCACAGTGGGTCTTGTTAGTGCAGTTCACATGGGTATTTGTTGTTTATCTCACATTTAGTTTGTAACTCCTGGAAGTCAGGGACTGACTTTTTTTAGTATATTTTGTTGATTATACCATTACAGTTGTCCCATTTCCCCCCTCTTCATTCCCCTGCACCCTGCACAACCATCCCTCCTACATTCCCCCCCTTTAGTTCATGTCCATGTGTCATACTTATAAGTTCTTCAGCTTCTACATTTCCCATACTACTCTTGCCCTCCCCCTGTCTACCTACCATCTATGCTACTTATTCTCTGTACCTTCTCCCTCTCTCTCCTCCTCCCACTCCCCTGTTGCTAACCCTCCATGTGATCTCCCTTTCTGTGGTTCTATTTCTGTTCTAGTTGTTTGATTAGTTTGATGTTGTTTTAGGTGTGGTTATTAATAACTGAGTTTGCTGTCATTTTACTGTATATGTTTTTTATCTTCTTTTTCTCAGATAAGGGACTGTCTTACTTATCAACTTCCCATATTGCTCAATATGACATGTACATATTAAGGATAGAATACTTGTTGAATAGATAAGATAATGACGAATCAAATAAATAGGTTGCTCTGAATAACTAGAACCTTATATGCCCTTACATGATCTCCTCATGCCAGGGGAAAAATATATTAAAAAGGCTAGTTCGCACATTGGGCTCATGGCTCAGTTGGTTGGAGCATCATCCTGTACAACAAAAGGTTGTGGGTTTGTTCACTGGTTTGGGCATGTACCTAGGTTGCAGGTTTGATCTCCAGTCACAGCACATATAGGAGGAAACTAATTGATGTCTTTCTCTCTCTCTCCTTTCTCCTCTCTCTAAAATCAATAAACATAGACTCTGGTGAAGATTATTTTTAAAGGCTATTTCAGGTGATACTTGGAAAGAGAGCAGAGAGGCCACATGCCAAACTAATAGGAGACACAAGGACGGTTATAAAATATTGTTTGTTTCATTAGCTGGTGGTCATGGAATTTTGCAAATTAGTATTTTTTGCTATGATAATAAAGTTCTAAATTATGGTAAATATTTGCTTAATGCTTCAGAGTTTTTTTAAGCCTATATTTTACTCACAATTCTCACCAGACAGCCAATCACGTAAAAAGGATAGATTCGTACTATGACCTTTATTTTGCAGTTGAAGAAACAAGTTTAGGCAGGTTAAATGTCATATCCAATGTCAAATACTTCTCTACAATGGCCTTTCAAACACCAGAAAGATATACAGTGTGTACTTTGTTTCACTCCAGCAATGGGACTGGTTTTTGCACACTTTTCGCTGTCATTAGTCTGGCCACGCCTCCCACACACTGCCCATGATCGAAAGATAGGAAGTTAGTATTAAAAGTGAGAGCTGTGATCAGGGACTGAAAACAAACAGCAGCAATAAAACAAAAAAAAATAAACAAAACATCTCAGCAGGCCCAGTCAGAAATCAAATTCATCAATACTGTATGCTAAGCAACTGGGTCAATGAGTTCTAGGTTTATACTAAAGATCCAGTAGTATTGCTAATATTTTATCAAAATTTATGTGTAATTAACACCTTTGTCCTCTTCTAAATCATGATTCTTACCTTTATAACAGAGGCCCCAGCTCTGGAGAGTGGGCTGTGAATCTGGGCTGCAGCAGCCATGTTGGCAATAGTATTTAGATGGTTCATCTGATTCATTGCCATGGCAACTGATGCAGGAGGTAAGCTAACTGGAAGTAGAGGATGAGGCATCATCATAAATGGCAGATCCAGTCCTAAAAGAGACAGTGCATGTTAAATTATTACATCTGTAAAATTATTTTGACAAGAGGAAATCACATCAAAATCACATGCAAAATTGATGCAAAGAAAAAAATAATTTACTGTTGGTGGATTTTTAAAAACTAAACTTTTATTATATTTTATTATCTCTTTGGGCAATTAATATTATCTATGGGATTTAATATTATTTATAACTCTAAAAATGTTCCTATCTCTCGCTGGCCACTGTGGCTCACTTGGTTGGAGCATCATCCTGTAAATTCAAAGTATGTGGGCTCAATTCTTGGTCAGGGCACATGCCTGTGTAGTGAATTCAATCCATGGTCGGGGAACATACAAGAGGCAAATGATCTTCATGTTTCTCTCCCTCCCTTCCCCCACTCTCTAAAATCAATATGCATGTCCTCAGGTGAAGATTAAAATAAATGGGTTTTTTTTGGTTAATGCATTCAACATCTTTCATCCCATGCCCTCCCTTTCCTTTTTGGCAGCTGTCAGTCTAATCTATGTATCTAAGCTTCTGTTATTGTCTGGTATGGGCCAGGGTGGGGCTGGGTGAGAAAGGGGAAGGGGAGAAAAGTAGAAACAACTGTAACAGCTTAAACAATAATAAAAAATAAGACAAAATAAAAGTTCCTATATCTACATACTATTATTTATCATTAACCCTTGTTCTTGTTCTCACTTCCAAAGTATATATAAGCTGCAATCCTTTTACTCCTAAAAAGGAGCAAAAGTCTTTAAGCCACACGTCTTTTTGTTTAATGAAGAGGAGTAACTACCTTCAGTAAACCATAGGACTTCACAATGTATTTTGAACTATTGCCTTGGCAGTAACTTTGCATTCTTTCGGACAGAGGCCCAGAAAACATATACATAGATGTTCTAAGACATCTTTGCCTATAATGTTCCTAAATTATTACAGATTATAGAAATTCTATGGTCACTAATGTTTATGTTGGTTCTATATGCAGTTAACAACTATTAATAACACTTCTTTTTCTTCTTTGCTATCCTCCTTTTTCCCTGCAACCTCATAACAGCAAATGAACAACAACAAATCTATAGGGAGTATACATTCAGAGGCACCCTAAATCTCATTCCTCAATCAACAATAACAGTAATACAAATACTCTAAATACATATATTTGGGACAAAAAAAGAGGTTAGAATGGAGAAATAATGTTAATTAATTTGAGGTCCATCTGCTGGGTTCAACAATGATGGTTGAATTAAAGCCATAAAAAAATTATTCATAGGCAGCATAATGCAAAAAAAACCACAACCCCAAAAAACAAAACCAACAAGACTCAGATAGGACAGGCCTCATACAACACCAAAGGGAGTGTCTCAAAGGAAGTCCTAAATAAAAGCAATCATCAATATTTCTGATAGAGGCAGTCACACAATGTATTGCTATCAAAATTACACGAAGATTTTAAAAAGCAAAAAACTTAAAATCTGTGTGGACTCCAAGAGGAGAAACACACACTGTGTGCCCTGTGAGCCCCAGTCCAATGAGAATATTAACAAAGCATTGTAAACTATTCTCCTATCACTTCACTTATGACTCACTATGTAGACATTTTTTAGGGGCAATCTACCAAACTGAACTTTTCAGTTATGAAACACATGTCATATGATTATTAATTTATCAGTGAAGCCTCAAAACTGTATAAACACTGCATTCCAAATGGCCTTGTGCATCCATCCCCATTTAAACTGGAAGTTTATTTTCAGTTAGCCTTCCAAAGTTCCTTTGATGCATATGCATTTTCTATTTTACCCATCATACAACTTTGCTATAATGATGTCATATCCCATAACATAGATCAAGTTAATCACTGTTTATCTTTCCCCTAAAATCTTCACTTCAGGCTCAATTCATAACAACCATCAATGATTTAAACAGGCTTCTATATAATACGGCTCTCATTTACCACCGACCTAAGGTAATTTAGAGAATTAAATTCTTTGTGCGCTCATTGTTTTGGTAGCAAATTGATCAAACTGTACAGGAGAAGTAGCCCCAGTGTCTCCATTTACTACTCAAATGCTTAAATAAGCCTTTATTCAATTGGCAATTTCCTGGGCAGTGTAATAACTTTTCCTTATTCTCCAAAGATTTTCAGCATCACCCTGACACCATCTGGCTGGATTAGGTCCTAATGCCCAGTTAAACTCCAAATGACATGCAAACTAAATGCAAACCACAAACAGAATTTTAACAGCCCATGGACACTTTTAAAATCTAATGTATCCAACATTTCAACTGATCATGAAGGGCTTAAAAGTCACCCTTTCAGATCATAATCTATAATAACTAACCGTCACTGGACTATAGCACCCTCTACTCTAAGCTAATGTTTACATTACAGGACACTAACACTTTGTACATGCAAAGCCTAAGCAAATACTGAATTATGTAAGTTAACCTTTTCCCAAACACGCAAACATTACATTGCAGCCATCGATAGTACACTATACTCAAGCAATCTGGCTCATTCAGTCGCACACCAGAAATGTACAAAGACTTTTTATTATTATGGTAATGAAAACAAATTTTTTTAAAGATTATGAAAATGGGTCATCTCTTTCCTGCCTACCTCAAGGACATCATGCAAGCTACTGTAAGCATTGTTTTAAACACATCTTGGTATTCTGGAAAATCCTGTAACGTTTATGTAACTTCATCATGCCACTTACTCCTAACCATAAAAGCTACAAACTTTAGTAATACTCTAGTCCTCCCTCTGAAATACCACATTCATTCAATTTCCAAGTGACGTTGACCTCCGTAATATCTCACCATTCATATAGTCAGGCACCAATTCCATTGTAACTGGTTGGTAGTCTGACAATCTCCATTATTATTGTTGTTGTCGTCAGTTTGCATTGTTTTGTTTTTTTAATATTATAATTTCTTTTTTTCCCCAAAGATTGTATTATTTATTTTTAGAGAAGGGAAGGGAGGGAAAAAGAGAAGGAGAGAAACATCCATGTGTGGTTGCTTCTTGCACACCCCCTACTGGGGACCTGGCCTGCAACCAAAGCACTTGTCCTGACTGGGAATCGAACTCAACCTTTTGGTTCACAAGCCAGCACTCAATCCACTGACATATACCAGCCAGGGTTCTTTTGAACATAATTTTTTTGTTAGATTAAGAATAAGAAATATATATATATATATACATATATATAAATATATATATGTATATATATATATATATATATATATATATATATATATATATATATAATTTACCTTGGTTGTTTTTTAATTTTTAAAAACCTTTCCCTCAGCTTTACTGACAAAAAATTGACCCATATCACTCTATGAGTTTAAGGCATACAGTATGTTTTGAGTTTCACATATTGTGAGATGATCACCACAGTGGGTTCAGCTAATATCCACCTACTCACAGAAATACAAAAAGAAAAGAAGAAAAAAAGGAAAAAATTATCCTTGTGATGAGAACTCTTATGGTTTATTCTCTTAACAACTCCCCTGTATATCATACAGCACTAAACTACAGCATCATGTTGTACATTACATCCCCACTTACTCATCTTATAACCAGAAGTTTGTACCTTTTGAGTACCTCATATTTCTCCTTCTCCAACTCCACCTCTGGTAACCACAGAGGTGGTTTGAAGTTCTAGAAGTTCTTTCTTTCCAGATTCCACATATAAGTGGAAACAGTTATTGTCTTTCTCTGACTTATTTCACTTAGCATAATACCCTCTAGGTCCACTCATATTGCAAATGGCAGAATGTCCCCAATTTTTATGGTGAATAACATTACAGTGTGTGTGCATGTGTGTGTGTCATGACTTCTTTGTCCATTCATCTGTCAGTGAACACTTAGGTTGTTTCCTTGTCTTGGCTATTGTAAGTGATGCTGATATAAACATGAAGGTGCAGATACGTTTTCAAGTTAGTGTTTTCATTTCCTTTGGATATAGTCCCAGAAGTGGAATTGCTGGATCATATGGTTGTTCTATCTTAATTTTTTGAGGATACTTTACATTGTTTTCCTATAGTGGCTCCCAATTTACAATCCCACCAACAGTGCACAATGGTTCCCTTTTCCCCATATCCATGTCTGCATTTGTTATCTCGTCTTTTTGATGATAGCCATTTTAACAGATCGAAATGATTCCTCATTGTGGTGTTAATTTGCATCTTCCTAATGACTAGTGATGTTGACTATCTTTTTCATGTACTTTCATATATATTTTTTGCATAAGTGCCTATTCAGGTCCTTTGCTGATTTTAAAATTAGATTGAGTTCTAGGAATTCTTTATATATTTTGGATATTAAGCCCTTGTCACATATATGGCTTGCAAATACTTTTCTCCATTACATAGATGGCTTTTCACTTCACTCATGGTTTCTTTAGTTGTGTAGAAGATTTTTAGTTTTATGTATGTAGTCCATTTGTTTGTTTTGTTGCTTGTGTTTTAGGGGTGATTTCCAAAATCTTATTACCAACATTCATGTCAAGGACAGTTTTTTATCTAAGTTTTCTTCAAGGAGATTCATGATTTCAGGTCTTATATTTAAGTTTTTAATTCATTTGGAGATCATTTATATGAGCGGTATAGATTAAGATCAATTTTTAATCTTTCATATGCAAATATCGAATTTTTCTATCACCAGTTATTAAAGAGTCAAATATTAGCAGTATATACTTGCTTGGTTTATTTCTGGGCTCTCAATTCTGTTTCACTGGTGTTTTTGTCTGTTTATATGCCAGTACCATACTGTTTTGATGACTATAGCTTTTTGGTATAGCTTGAAATGAAGAAATGTGATGTCTCCTACTTTGTTCTTCTTTCTCAAAATATATTTGACTATCCATCGTCTTTGTGTTTCCTAGAGTGTTTTTTTCCTAATTCTGTAATAAAAGCCATTGGGATCTTGATAGATGGTGCATTTCCAAATGGCTTATAGATGACCTTGGGTGGTATTACCATTTCAACCATATTAATTTTTCCAATGAATGAATATGGGATATCCTTGTATGTGTCTTTTTCATTTTCTTTCATCAATACTCTGTAGTTTTCAGAATAGAAATATTTTACCTCCTTGATTAAATTTATTCCTAAGTATTTTATTGTTTTTGATGCTATGGTAAGTGGATTTTCTTACATAGTTTTTTTTTCAAAATATTTGTTCATTTATAGAAATGCTACTGAATTTAGGATTTTTCTATATAAAAAGCCATATCATCTACAAATAGAAACAATTTTACTTCTACCTTTCCAATTCTGGTACTTTTTATTTCTTTTTCTTGTCTAATAGATCTAGCTAGGACTTCTAGTACTATGTTGAATGGGAGTGGTAAGAGTGGAAACCCTTGTCTTGCTCCTGACCTCAGGGAAAATACTTTAAACTTTTTACTGTTGAGTATATTAGCTGTGGGCTTTCCATATATGGCCTTTATTATGTTGAATTTTTTTCCTTCTATGTCTAATTTGTTAAGTGTTAAAATCATGAATATATGTTTAACTTTGTCAAATGCTTTTTATGTGTCTTTTGAAATGATAAAATTATTCTTTTCTTTCATTCTAGTAAAGTAATGTGTCACATTGATTTGTATATGTTGAACCATCCTTTTCCCTTGGATAATCCCTCTTAATCCTTTTAATGAGCTGCTAAATTCAGTTTGCTGGTATTTTATTGAATTTTTATATCTATTATTATCAGAGATATCAGCCTATAGTTTTTTTTAATAGTGTCCTTTTCTGATACCGATATCAGGATAATACTTGCCTCATAAAAGGAGTTTGGGAATGTTCCCTCCTTTCAGTGTTTTGGAAGAGTTTGAGAATGACTGGCCTTAAATCTTTTTAAAATGTATGGTAAAATTCACCAGTAAAGCTATCTGGTCTTTTGATTTTGTTACTTGGGAGACTTGTGATTACTGATACAATGTCCTTACCAGTAATGTGGTTTATTCAAATTTTCTATTTCTTCCTGATTTATAGTTTGTAATTTATAGATTTACCTTAATTTATCCCTTCTCTAACAGTCTTCCTCTGTTTACATAGATCCAAGTTTCTGACCTATATCATTTTCCTTCTCTCTGAAGATCTTCTTTTAACATTTCTTACAGGGCTGATCAGCTGGCACAGATACAAATTCCCTCAACTTTTGGTTGCTGAAAATGTCTTTATTTCTTCTTCAGTTTAAAAAATAAGTTTCCCTAGATACAGAATGTTAGGTGAGTAGGTATTCCTTCTTTCCACACTAAGTATTTTATATCACTCTACTCTTGCTTACCTGGTTCCTGAAGACAAGTAGCATGTAATTCTTATTTTTGTTCTTGTATGGGTAAGGAGGGCTTTTTTCTCTTCTTTAAAGATATTCTTTTTGGTTTTGGCTTTCCAGTTTGAGTACGATCTGCACAGGAGTGGAATACATATATATTCTACTCCTATGCAGATCATATATTCATATACACATATACACACATATGTACATGTACACATGCATACATATGGATATATACATTGAGAAGAACATGTGTACATATATGTGTGTATGTGTGTATATTCTTCTCAATGTTTTCCAGTTTGATTATAAGCTGCATAGAAATGGAATATTCATGCTTCCCAGTATTCTCTGAGATTCCTAGATTTGTGGTTTTATGTCTCTCATTAATTTCATAAATATTTTTAGTCTTGTTACTTTAAATATTTTTTGTTATTTCCCTCATTCCTGTTTTTCTGGTATCCCCATTATTTGTTACATGCCTCACCTTTTATAATTACCACACCGTTCTTGGATATTCTGTCCTGTTTTTTGTTTGTTTTTATTCCATTTTTTGCTTTGCTTTTCAATTTGGGAGCTTTCTATTAACATATCTTCAAGCTTACTAATTACTTCCTTAAGCACATCCAGTGTATTGGTGAGCCCATCAAAAGCATTCTTCTCTTTGTTGGACAATTTTTAATTTCCAAAATTTCCTTCTGGTTCTTAGAATTTCCACCTTTCTGCTTAAATTTTCCATCTGTTTTTTGTGCATTTTCTACTTTTTCCATTCTGTTAGTATATTAATTAAAGTTATTTTTAATTCCAGGTTGGATCATTCTAAAACATCTGCTCTATCTCATTTTGGTTCTGATGCTTGCTGTATTTCTTCATGCTGTGTGATTTTTTGCCTTTCCCATAACTTTTAATTGTTTTAAGCCAGTAATAATGTGGTGAGGGAAGTGAACTGAGGTAGAGTCTTTAGTGTGAAGTTTTGTGTTCATCTGGCTGAGAGTTAGTCTGTGTGCCCTGCTTACCATACATACCTATTGTATTAGAGCTGTAGTTTTCTGCTCCCACCACTGATGTCTTTCATTTTCTGTGGAGAATCCATATTAAATAGAGCCTAAGGCTTTCAATTACTTCAGTTGTAATTCACTGTTATAATGAATGTAACAGTGAATGTGGGAAGGATAAGCATTCTATAATTTTATGATTCATCTCAGCCACTTAGAAAGCCAGTATACCTGGGCTGTAACTTTCACACGTGCTATTCAGCTTTCTTCCTTCATAGGTGAGACAGGAAGGCCAGAGGGGACTGAAGTTTAGTAATTCTCTTTGCACAGGAAGAAAACTCAAATGTTTGGAACTGCATGTCTCCCTTTCATATCAATTGCTACAAGTTTAGAATATCCTTTCCCCAGGGGTCAGCTAGGCTCTGGTGAAACCAACTAGTTTCAGCTCTACTAAAATAATCTCCTTTGAAGGAAAGCCTTTGTTAAGAAAATAATGCACTGGGCACATTTTGATATGGTTACTTTTCCTCCCCCCTGCCAGAAGTACAAGGCGAATTTTCACAGGCCTTTGCTCAGTTACCCTTTAAATGTGTCTGCCATGCTCCAGCTACGGAGCTAGCTCCCTACATGCTGATTCTCTGTATCTCCCTATCTCTCCAGTTTGGGGGATAGCTGTCCCCAGTGAACTCAACCTGAGATGGATTTTAAGGAGGTGTTGATTCCACTTTTTGTCTTATTATGAGGACGGGAATGACTGTTTCTACTCTCTACAGGGCAAACGAGAGTCCTCTAAGTTTCCCTCCTTTACAACAAACATATGTACCTTAATCAGTACTTTGTTTTACTTCTTATAACATAATATTTATAACTGTCCTGGCCTTTATTAAATTTGCCTTTGCTTAACTAACATTCTGTTTTTATGGGAGATTTCATTTTTGAGATTAAACCTCTCTAAAGTAAGACACCATAACTTAGTCACTGATGAATTTCATTAAGATTTGGGACATCATATTAAAATATCTAACAATTCTTTGTCTGTCCTAATCTTAGACATTAGTGAGAGAACAAAAGTCTTAGGAAAAGAAATAATGGACCCCTTCTTCATATTTCCTAAAACAAAAGTAGGATTTTAGTCAAGCAATGTATAGAAGATCAGCTTTGAAGTTCCTAAAAACATTATCTAAACCAGAATTTGTAGACATTAGCAGTAGTGTGTTTATGAAGTAATAATAATAGTTATAATTATATAGTACTCACTATATATAATTCACTGCTAACAGCATTTCCTTTCTTTTTCTTTATTTTAGTTCTCACAATGACTATAACAAGTGGGTATGTTTTTATCCCTACTTTGTATTGGTGGACACTGGGACTTGAAAATGAGGTGACTTCTCCAAAGTAAAAAACTGATAATGGAATTCAAAAGATGTGGAACTTCAACCCACGTTTACACCAGTATGGCCGACATTCTCAACTACTATGCTACATGATCTCTGAGGCATCTTTGCTCTGCTACATGAACTTTCAATTATCTCAATGCTATAAACCCTCCACTTTCCCTGGGTTCAGAGTCCAGAGTGCTCACCATGATACTACACAACCATGGCTGAGCCCCTACCCTTGCCATTCAATCCCTCTTTATGTACCCTTCAGACTTAAATTTTAAATCCTATTGGGGAGGAACAGACTTGCCCTGATGGCCCAAGGTTTCCATTGGTTTGTGTATGGTACTTTTCATAGCACACCAAGTTTTGGGAGTACTGTTTACATACTATTGGTCAGCAGGTGGTTGGGCTGCAGTGGATTGAGGGTCGGAGCACTCCCAAGGCCTGGCTGGCCAGCCAGGGCAGCATGAGTAATTCCAGGTTGGGATCCAGGAGCAGCAAGAGGAGACTGCATCTTATCCTTATCCCATGAGGATTCAGTTCCACCTGAAAAATAGTCAGATGAACAGATTGTAATTTGACATCATTCCAGGAGACAGCTTGTTAAAATTTCCTCTTTTAGGGTTATAATTATTCATGTTACTTCTTATAAAGTTATTACTAAATGTAGGTAAGTCATGTTATGATGGCTTGAAAAAATTTCAGTAGCCCTGGCTGGTGTGGATTGAGTGCCGGCCTGCAAACCAAAGGGTTACTGGTTTGATTCCCAGTCAGGGCACATGCCTGGGATGCGGACCAGGTCCCCAATAGGGGGCATGCGAGAGGCAACCACATATGGATGTTTGTCTTCCTCTCTTTCTCCCTCCCTTCCCCTCTCAAAAAATAAATACATAAAATTGAAAAAAAGAAAAAAAACTTTCAATAGTCTTGGAAGTAGGTTGCTTCTGAAAAGGCTAAACAACTCTCACTAATAATGTAGGCCCAGTGGCCTTACAGACAGTCTAAACAAATCTAGAATCATAATGAACAGCTCTTGAGAGCTCTTGTCCATTGACAGCCATTAACTGACCACAACTGCCTCCAACCCTCTGAAATACATGTACTGTATTTTAATGAAGAGCATTGGCTGTTCACCAGAAAAGAATACACTCATTTACATGAGCATGATGACATACAAAAATAGGTTTTCTGAAACAAAATGATCAGTTCTTTTTTCTCAGAACCAGCCCTCCAAAAGCTGATCTCTTCATACACATCAGGTTTTTGTACAGAATAAAGCTGGATAAAATATAAAACTAAGTCCCCTCCCCCAGATTGAAATTGCACTTTCCTTTGATGAGCCATGCTAGAGAGTAAAGTAACATGTACATAAAAGCAGAGACCTGTACAGGTCACCTGTCACAGTGACCTACAGTGGAACAGCTATTTCATCTGGCACTGAGCTCACTGTGGGGTCAGAACAGTTGCTTAAAACAATATAGGAAACAACCACAAAATGAGTTCTGCACACCTACTTTTAAGGAAAATAATTTAAACAGAGGGGAATGCAGCCGAGTTCCAGTCACTTCAGTTGCAGACAGTGTGATTTATCCGTGGGAATCTTGGGCACTGCATAAAATACGTGCATTTACAACGTGTAGTGGCTACATGGCAATCTACTGAGTTTAATGTACTATAATTTATTAAACATCAGACTTTGAGATTGTTTCAGGGTTTTGTTTTCGCTATTGTACATTACACACCATAACAACATTCACTTGAATTATTTCCTTAGAATCAGTGCATGCCCCTGAGTGGGATTTCTGAGTCAAAAAGGTTGAACATTTTTATACTTTTGCTTTCAAGTGCCACATTTACACAAAGTTTTTATTTATTTTTATTTTTTAACTTTATTTTTACTGTTGATACTATTACAGACATCCCCATTTTCCCTGCTTTTCCCTCCCTACCTCCTCCCAGCCTCCCTCCCCTGCTTCCCTCTGGCCGTCCCCACACTACCGTCTGTCTGTGGGTCACACATACATGTTCTCTGGCTGATCCCTTCCCCTTCTTTCATCCAGGCCCCCTCCCCCATTCCCTCTGACAGCTGTCGGTATGTCCATGTGTCCACACCTCTGGTTCTGTTTTGTTCCCCAGTGTATTTAGTTCACTGGATACCACATATAAGCAAGATCACAGAAGACTTTTAAAGGAAATATTTTCAGGGCCAGCTGGTATCCTTCTTGAAGATTTAAAATTTATTTAAGCAAATTACCTGCTAGAATCACTGCTAGATTTTTTTTAACCTTTCTACCTGTGTCAGCTCTCAGAATCGACTTCCTTCTCAGGATTCTTTTAAACCTCCTTGGGTCAAAGTCTATCTCTAATCCAAAAATGGGAGTCTTGGCCAGTCTGCAGTTTGAGGAGTTCCAGAGAAGGAAAGCATATGTAAAAGCTGAGGGGTACCTGCTCTTGGCTATGTGGACAAAGATTTTCCAATTCAATGGGGAAGAAATACATAGTTAACAGTTCAGTTCCTGCAATAAGCCATTCAGTGTCCATGCGTGGAAGCTTAGGTTTTGGTTGAATTTGATGTACTGGCTCAATGAACCAGATATCTTTACCTTAATCATGCTGAGATTTGGTGTGTTCATTGAGAACATGCGACACCCTATGATTACAGCAATTGTTCTCCTTTTTGTCCAGATGTTTGCTGTTCTATAGTCACTGCCTAAGAGAAGGGAGGTAATTTATGGCTGGTGCATTGACATAAATTAGCATTCACAAATTTGAAATTCCAATTAAAATCAATAAGACATTGTTATGCTGCAATGAACAGGAACGGTGGGGGAAAGGGGGATATTTTAATAAATGATGCAAGTAACCACATTGCAACACTTAGAATTCTTTATAGTAACATTGGGCCAATAAACATGATTGCTATCAGATAGTGCAAAAAATCAAAAGAGCAATTGTTGAGCAGAAATGGAACCACTCCATCATTTTAGCACTGTGTCCAAGATATGAATTACCTTACCATTACAGAACTGTAATTTATAAAATTATAAGCAAAACATTAACAAAGAAAGATGCATTTAGAAGACACTAAATTATATCTCAGGTATTAAAGTGGTATTGGGCCACCAGAGCAAAACAGTATATAGAAGTACTAGGGCTAAGACTAGGTCCATATATATTTGATAAATTGAGACTTTTAGTCCACATTCTATATTACACGGTAGTGTAGGTAATTAGGCTAATGTATTATAATCATATTTTCCCAAATAAACTAGAATAGAAATGTTTTTTTAATAAATTTTATTTAGTTACTTTTCAAATACATTTTTTTATCTATTTCTCCCATCCCACCCCCCTGCCCCATCTCCCCCCTCCCTCCCATCCCCCCCCAAGTCCTCGTCCCTGTGTCTTTCATACTTGTTCCTCAAAATCCCTCCCCATTTTTCCCCTTAAATTCCCTTCCCTCTCCCGTCTGGTCACTGACCACTTGTTCTCTATTTCAGTGTCTTTGTTTTTATTCTGTTTGCTTGTTTGATTTATTCTTTAGCTTCCTGTCAAAGGTAAGATCATATGGTATTTGTCCTTCAATGCCTGGCCTATTTCACTCAGCATAATGCTTTCCAGTTCCATCCATGTTGTTGCAAAGGGTAGTAGCTCCTTCTTTCTCTCTGCTGCATAGAATTCCATTGTGTATATGGATCACAATTTTTGGATCCATTCATTTACTGATGGACACCTAGGTTGCTTCCAACTCTTGGCTATTGTAAATTGTGCTGCTATGAACATTGTGGTGCATAGGTTCTTTGAAATTGATGTTTTAGGATTCTTGGGGTATAATCCTAGCAGTGGAATTGCTGGGTAAAAAGGCAGGTCAATTTTTATTTTTCTGAGAAAATTCCATACTGTTTTCCATAATGGTTGTACCAGTCTGCAATCCCACCAACAGTGAACTAAGGACCCCTTTTCCCCACAACCTCTCCAACATTTGTTGTTTGTTGCTTTGTTTATGATAGCCATCCTGACTGGTGTAAAGTGGTATCTCATTATGGTTTTAATTTGCATCTCTCTGATAGCTAACGATATTGAGCATCTCTTCATGTGTCTCTGGATCTTCTGTATGTCCTCTTTAGAGAAGTGTCTGTTCAAGTCCTTTTCCCATTTTTTAATTGGGTTCGATGTCTTCCTAGAGTGGAGTCGTGTAAGTTCTTTGTATATTTTGAAGATTAAATCTTTGTCTGAGGTATCATTGTCAAATATGTTTTGCCATACAGTTGGTTGTCTTTTTAATTTAATACTGTTTTCTTTAGCCATGCAGAAGCTTTTTATTTTATGAGATCCCATTTGTTTATTCTTTCCTTTATATTCCTTGTTCTAGGGGACATATCCGTAAAAATGTTGCTGCATGGAATATCTGAGATTTTCTTGCCAATGTTCTCCTCTAGGACTTTAATGGTGTCATGGCTTATATTTAAGTCTTTATCCACCTTGAATTTATTTTGGTGTATGGTGTAAGTTGGTGCTCAAGTTTCATTTTTTTGCACGTAGCTGTTTAGTTCTCCGAACACCCTTTGCTGAAGAGGCTATCTTTATTCCATTTTATGTTACTGCCCCCTTTGTCAAATATTAATTGACTATAGAGAGTTGGGTTGATTTCTGGACTCTCTGTTCTGTTCCATTGGTCTATGTGCCTGTTTTTGTGCCAGTACCAGGCTGTTCTGATTACAGTGGCCTTGTAATACAGTTTGATATCAGGTATTGTGATCCCTCCTACTTTGTTCTTTTTTCTCAAAAGAGCAGCTGCTATTCAGGCTCGTTTGTGATTCCATATAAGTTTTTGAAGTGTTTGTTCTATGTCTGTGAAATACGCCATTGGTATTTTAATAGGTATTGCATTGAATCTGTATATTGCTTTGGGTAGTATGGACATTTTGATGATGTTAATTCTTCCAATCCATGAACGAGGTATATGTTTCCATTTGTTTGTGTCTTCCCTGATTTCTTTCTTCAGTGCTGTGTAGTTTTCTGCATACAGGTCTTTTACCTCCTTAGTCAGGTTTCTTCCCAGATATTTTACTTTTCTTTTTGCTATATCGAATGGGATTTTTTCCTTGATTTCTGCTTCTGCTGATTCATTGTTAGTATACAAAAATGCCTTTGATTTCTGGATATTGACTTTGTATCCTGCTATTTTGCCAAATTCATTAATTAGTTTGAGCAGTTTTGGGGTAGAGTCTATAGGATTTTCCATGTACACTATCATGTCATCTGCAAACAGTGACAGTTTTGTTTCCTCCTTTCCTATTTGGATGACTTTTATTTCCTTTTCCTGCCTGATCACTGTGGCCAAAAGTTCTAATACTATATTGAATAGAAGTGGTGAAAGTGGACATCATTGTCTCGTTCCTGATCTTAGTGGAAAAGCTTTTAGTTTTTGCCCATTGAGTATGATATTGGCTGTAGGTCTCTCATATATGGCCTTTATTATATTGAGGAATGCTCCCTCTATTCTCATTTTCCTGAGTGTTTTTATCATAAATGGGTGCTGTACC